CATCCCTCACTCACCCTCACCACCCTCACCCCTCACTCACCCTCACCCCTCACTCACCCTCACCCCTCACTCACCCCTCACTCACCCTCACCCCTCACTCACCCTCACCTCTCACTCACCCCTCACTCACCCTCACCCCTCACTCACCCCTCACTCACCCTCATCCCTAACTTAACCTCACCCCTCACCCACCCTCACTTCTCACTCACCCCTCACTCACCCTCACCCCTCACTCACCCTTCACTCACCCTCATCCCTCACTCACCCTCACCCCTCACTCACCCTCACTAACCCATCACCCCTCACTCACCCCTCACTCACCCTCACCCTTCACCCACCCTCACCCCTCACTCACCCTCACTCACCCTCACCCCTCACTCACCCTCAGGGAACTCCGGCACCCCCCACCCCCACCCACCCACCCCTCCTCCACCTCGCTTCATTCAAATCGCACCTCGTGGTGCGAATTCACGAACCTCTGAACCCCCTCGTGCCCACCTGCTTCGTCAAGCCACGGTGGCTAGGATATGTTAACTACCTCGCCTGGTATACAGGAGGTCGTGGGTTCGATCTCGATCCCGGCCCTGACGACTGCTGCTGTATATTTGGAGTTTGCGGTGTCTCTCTCTCACTCCGTGGTGAGATGTTTACTACCTCGCCTGGTATACAGGAGGTCGTGGGTTCGATCTCTATCCCGACCGTGACGCCTGCTGCTGAATATTTGGAGTTTGTGGTGTTTTCTCTCTCTCTCTCCGTGGTGATCGCGTGGATTTTTCTCCCGGTCCCCCGGTTTTTCCCTCAACATTTATAATCAACATCGCATTATTTGGCTGATACATTTCCACGCGATTGCATGCCACGTTGTTGAGGTATCATTTGTGGCCAGGCCGCCTCTGAAAACAATCTAAACAGCTCAGTGGGGCATTTCCTTCGTAAATAAATAAAAACACAGTTCACAATATCAATAATTCGTTTTAATAATATTCTTTTAGGCCTTTTTCAATTCCTTTAATAATTAATTTTGTCGTTTTATTCGATCGGTTTATGTCTGCGTAGTGTGCTAATTCAGAGACACGAGTAGGAGGCACTCTCTCTCATTTATTCCGCCCTTCACAGCCTTAGGGGGCAACTACACACCGGGTCAGGACATCCAACACGCTGCCTGATCCACAGCTAGAAGAAGCGAAGACCACGACGACTGCAGCCCCGACTGTGAGTCGGAGCTCGTCCTTTTATCCTCCCCAGCGTGGCCTCGACCACGCCCCCTTCAGGATTCTCCCAGAAGGCTCCGGGCTTTGCCCACGTGTCCCACCGGTAGACCGGGCTGCTACCCATAATCCCACTATCTCTCTGACCAGCCCCCCAGCGCTACGCGTTCCAGTCACTCATTCTATGTGGCTACATCTGTATTCATTTGTATTATAGTACATGCCTTGTTCTCTACAGCACCATGTGACCTCAGGGTGAAAGGCGCTTTAGACGTGTACTGTGTATGTGTGTTTGACTTCTTTTGCACCGTACGTAGCCAGCCGTGCTTAATCAGAGATTGCAGAATTATAACAACGTATACGTTTTAGTAAATTGTAATACATGATCAGGTTTAGCACAATTGTAATTCGCGTGACTACATTGAACTCCGCACCTGATAGGCTCACAGTGATCACGTCGTTTTAACTCTCAGACTCAAAACTGGAAGACTCCATTCACATTTCTGCCAAATCGCCTGATAAAGCGGGTTGTTGTTACGGTTGCTGTTGTTGTTGTAAGCACCAGCGACAGGGCAAACAGTCCTAGAATTAATAGGGTTTTTCGCCTTTTGGCGTCATCTGGTCGAACACCATATGAGACTAGGCTCCAAAGAAAGCTGTCTCTGGTGTGGACCAATCAGTTTCAAGGACAATGCATAAATTATCAGAGTATTGTTTTTTGTTTGCATTTGACTGCAAGTATTGTGGTTAATGTTAGCATGTCTCTGGTGTGGACCAATCAGTTTCAAAGACAATGCATAAATTATCAGAGTATTGTTTTTGTTTGCATTTGACTGCAAGTATTGTGGTTAATGTAAGCATGTCTCTGGTGTGGACCAATCCGTTTCAAAGACAATGCATACATTATCAGAGTATTGATTTTTGTTTGCATTTGACTGCAAGTATTGTGGTTAATGTAAGCATGTCTCTGGTGTGGACCAATCAGTTTCAAAGACAATGCATAAATTATCAGAGTATTGTTTTTGTTTGCATTTGACTGCAAGTATTGTGGTTAATGTAAGCATGTCTCTGGTGTGGACCAATCAGTTTCAAGGACAATGCAAAAATTATCAGAGTATTGTTTTTTGTTTGCATTTGACTGCAAGTATTGTGGTTAATGTAAGCATGTCTCTGGTGTGGACCAATCAGTTTCAAAGACAATGCATAAATTATCAGAGTATTGTTTTTGTTTGCATTTGACTGCAAGTATTGTGGTTAATGTAAGCATGATTCCTTGCAAAAGGTGTCAGTTTTGTTGCCAGAAAAAAGGGGAAAACCCCTATTAGTAGTCCTAGAATTGTTAAATGTTGTTGTTAATTTTACTCTCCAATACACTTCAACTGGTGCTGAAGCAATAAGTAATTGGCGCGTTTTGTGTTTGTGACACACACTTAGCAAAATAGAGGTTTTTTTTTGGGGGGGGGGGGAGATCGCGTAAATATAAATGTGTCGTTAAACCCGCCACCACCCGACACGAGAGAGCGACAGAGAGAGCGAGAGAGAGAAGCTCACCGCGCATGACGCAGTCTGCGCGCACAGCCTGTGAACCTCCTCCGCTGCATCACGCCGGTGAAGGATTTAACACAACCCACGAACGCGAAACCGAATCATTCATCATCATCACAACAACAACAACAAACAACAACACAAATCTGCCTTAGTTCGACGTTTTAGGGCCAATGTCCTTTGTCAAGCCAATTGTACACTCGCAAACTCACGCGTGCGCGCACAGCAGCAGTAGCAGCTGTTTGTTGATGAAGCGGCGAGGACATCACCGCCACGGCCGGCCCTTGTGCCAGGCTAGGTGCACCTTGAGTCCGTCACGCGAAGTGTCGAAGGCTCGCTGCTGGCAGGAGGTCAGGAGGTCAGACCCATATGCCATGGGTCGACCGACTGAGATGGTTGGCAGACGCACCAGCTGTTCTCGCTGAGTTTAGCCGCCCGGCGCTTCCGCTCGTTGTTGTGAGCATCGCCCCTCCGCCCTTCGCTGTTGTTTGGAGGGCGACTGCCTCCAGCTGCCCAGTAGCAGCGTCCTTCACGAGCCTCCTCCTTCACAGAGGTCGATCTTGACACCGCTGGTGCCGGTCATCGACAAGTCCACTCAGCGCCACATCCTTTTTGAACTGCATCAGTCCATCTCTCCTGTAGACCGTGCAGCGCCCCTTTAGCCTCTATCCATTCAAACAGAAACTGACTCACACACTCGCTCGCTCGCTCACCCACTTATTCACTCGCTCACCCACGAAACCACTCACCTACTCACTTCACCCGCTTACTCACTCACCCAACCAACCACACACCCACCCACTAACCCACCATGCCGCAGGTAACAACGGTACACTCACTCACACAAACACTCACCTACTCACTCACCCACTCACTCACCCACCACACCCCAGGTAACAACGGCACACTCACTCACACAAACACTCACCTACTCACTCACTCACCCACTCACCCACCACTCCGCAGGTAACAACGGCACACTCACCTACTAACTCACCCACTCACTCACTCACCCACTCATTCACCACGCAGCAGGTCACAGCGGCACACTCACTCACCTACTCACTCACCTACTCACTCACCTACTCACTCACCTACTCACTCACTCACCCACTCACTCACCCACCACTCCGCAGGTAACAACGACACACCACTCACACAAACACTCACCTACTCACTCACCCCACTCACACAAACACTCACCTACTCACTCACTCATCACTCCGTGGTTACAGCGGCACATTCACACACACAAACACTCACCTACTCACTCACCTACTCACTCACCACCCACTCACCCACCACTCAGCAGGTCACAGCACGTGTTCGTCCCTCCCACGTCTCTGTTTCCCAAAGGTCTCACCAACGTGACACCTCTTCAACATTTTTTTTTTAGGAATTCTTACATCTTCATTTTTCGTTTGTTGCTGACCGCTTGACTTTTTGGGCATTTGAACGACTGAGATCACCAATAACAACAGTCGTAAAAACAACAACAGTCGTAATAACAACAACAACAACAACAACGCCGGTCGTGATCATAATAATATCAGAAGCGCAGCTGGGACTCTGACACAAATATGTTCAAACTCGGTACCAGTTTCGACTCTCGTGGGCTTCATCGGCTATGACGCCGCCGTGGTTTCGCCGCATCATTGTCCGACGTTTCGGTCACAACCCCTTCCCCGCCGAGCTCGTCCGGCACCGCCGCGTGAGCCGTAGTTGGTGGTTGCGTCACGCAGACATCGCAACTAACGCGACTCGAATCACAGCAAAGGATGCCGTAATCATCACAGTCATGATCATGGAGGTGATGATGGCGGGTGATGATGAGTAGCACAACGACGATGCTGACGATGGTGGCAAGAATCGCCGCCATGAAATGTGTACGTACGATGTCGAACTTCTTTCGCGCCGTACGTAGCTAGCCAAAATGTGCTAATCGGAGCCTCGGAATGAAAAAGCTGTCGCCACTGAAAAGTCGGCATGGCACCATCTGTGATAACTACTGATAAACAACATGACGTCATCAGCACTAACTAGTGATAAACGGCAGGGCGCTGCTATTGGCTCTGCAGATCAGGGCGCTCTCCCCGGTGCTGAAACAGTTAACGCTTTCCGCTGGGGCGAAGCGCTGCTGCTCCTGCTTGTCGCTCTCCGCCACGCAGCAGCAGCCGCTGCTACTGCTGCAGCTGCAGCAGCAGCAGCTGCAGCAGGGCAGGGCGCTCCTCCCGGCAGCAGCAGCACCGCCGCATTGCTGCCGGGCGCAGCTGCCGTCCGTTGCGCTTGAAGGCAGAGCACTGTCCGTGTTGCTGCCATCACCCAGTTCGCTCTGCGTCACCCCGCATCGCCTCCCCCTCGTCCTCCCCCTCATCCTCCTCATCGTCCTCCTCCTCTCGCTCCTCTCGCTCCTCGTCTGCCCGCTGTCCACCGAGGTACCGGCTCGCCGCGGTCGCTCACCGCCGCCTCCCGCGGCGAGGCCGCCGCCACCGCCACCGCCACCGCCGCCGTCGGCCACGTGCATCCCGCAGAGCGCCCGCACAATCTCGCGGCGAATGCTGCGGTGCATGTAGCCGTAGATGTAGGGGTGGACGCAGCACTGCGAGAAGAACAGGAGCGCGGCGCACGCGCGCACCCAGCACGGAGCGCGCGTGGCCGCGGCGCCGAGCGCGCTGTAGGGCGCCGTGCAGAGCACGTTGGAGGCCAGGATGAGGAAGACGACGCGGGCAGCTTTCCAGTGTTGCCGATAACGACGGCGCTCTTTCGCCTGGCCCTGAACAGCTCCTCCTTCTCCTCCTCCTCCATCTCCACTACCTCCTCCTCCTCCTCCTCCTCCTCCTCCTCCTCCATCTCCACCACCTCCTCCTTCCCCTCCTCCTCCTACTCCTCCCCCTCCTCCTCCTCCTCCATCTCCACCACCTCCTCCTCCGCCCCCTCCTCCTCCTCCTCCTCCATCTCCACCACCTCCTCCTTCCCCTCCTCTTCCTCCTCCTCCTCCTTCCCCTCCTCCTCCTCCTCCTCCATCTCCACCACCTCCTGCTTCCCCTTCTCCTACTCCGCCTGCCGCATCCACGCCGCCGCTCCACACCCGTCGCAGCGGACGCACCAGCAAGTTCTGCCTCCGTGCCGCGCGGAACACCATCACGTAGCAGCAGAGCATCACGCACACGGGCAGCCAGAATGTGGCCACGCTCACGTAGGCCGCGTACGAGGCGTGCGCGCTCCAGAGGGGGGCGCACAGACCCGTGGCCGGGTCGTGCCCGGCCGCCCCCCAGCCGAGCAAGGGGGGGCCGCCTTGCAAGGCTCCGATTGCCCAGGTGCAGGCGATGAGGTTGGCGGCACGGCGCGGCGTCATCTTGGTCGGGTAGGAGAGCGGGTGAATGATGGCGAGGTAGCGGTCGACGGAGACCACCGCGATCGTGTTGACGCCGGCGAATGCGAACAGGTGGCTCAACGCCACGGCCACGTGGCAGTAGGAGGCTGCGGGGCGCGACGCGCTGAGCAGCGGCGCGAGGGAGAGAGGCATTGCCACCGTCGTCTGCAGGAGATCGGCCACGATGAGGTTGAAGACGAACCGGTTGGCGATGTGGAAGAGGAGGCCCGGCCGCCGGTAGAAGACGCCGAGGAGGAGGAGGTTGGCGAACAGCGAGGTGCACATCGCGGCGACGAGCGACACGCCGAGTAGGAGGAGGTGGTGGAGGTGGGGGAGGTGTGGGGGCAGCAGCAGCAGCGGTTCTTCGACGAGTGGTACCTTCTCGCCGTCAACGCCGCTATCGTCGCCGGCTGCTGCTGCGGTTGTGTTGCTGTAGATGAGAAGAGTGAATGCCGCTGCTGATGATGATGGTGATGATGGTGGTGATGATGATGATGTTGTCGCGTCAGTGACCGCAATAGCAAAAGCGGCAATCATGACCACGCCAGGGTGGGGGGTGCGGGGTTCATTAATCGGGGGAGACGCGGGGTGGATGGTGCCTGTGCTGGTTCGCTCTCTCCCATCAACTACCAGCACCACCACAACCACCACCACCACCGCCCGTGGTGTCCACTCGTGCCACTGACGTCGTCACCACCACCGCCACTCGGAGCTCACGGCGGCGGCGGAGAGAAGATGCCGCGGCGGGGACGACACGAGGAGGAGGAGGTGGCGACGAGCGGAGAAACGCGGGGCATCACCATCACCACCATCATCACCACCGTCATCATCACCGTCATCACCATCACCATCGTCTCCGCCATCGTGGTCATCATCACCACCATCGCCACCGTCACCTTCATCCCTGACGGACGCTCGCTCCGTATCCCTCCGCCGAATGGAGCCAGTCTCAACTGACGTCACGAGGGGTGGCTCCCTGTGTGTGTGTGCGTGTGTGTGTGCGTGGGTGCGTGTGTGTGTGCGTGCGTGTGTGCGTGCGTGTGTGTGCGTGCGTGCGTGTGTTCGTGTGTGTACGTGTGCGTGTGTGTGCGTGTGTGCGTGCGTGTGTGTGTGCACCGGTGTGTATACGTGTGTGTGTACACGTGTGTGTACGCGTGTATGTGTGTGTATACACGTGTGTACACGTGTGTTCGGGGAGCGGTAGTGTAGCAGTGAGCGCGCTGCGCTATGAACCTGGCGACCCAGGTTAGATTCCCGCTCACGGCCAACACCAGCGACGATTATCTGAACCGGTCCCGGGCCTCCCCTAGGTCGACTCAGCCTCAAATGAGTACCTGGTGCGATGTGTAAACATCGTCACTCGGGAGACAAAGGCGGCCGGGCGTGGTGCTGGCCACCCACCCCCTCGTGTGCCGTGCCGGCCTTTATAGGTGCTCGCTAACAGCACTTGCCCCTACAGTCTGTTAAGGCTATACGGGGGATCTTTGTCTTGTACGAGTGTGTGTACACGTGTGTGTGTGTACACGTGTGTGTGTGTACACGTGTGTGTGTGTACACGTGTGTGTGTGTGTGTACACGTGTGTGTGTGTACACGTGTGTGTGTGTACACGTGTGTGTGTGTACACGTGTGTGTGTGTGTACACGTGTGTGTGTGTGTACACGTGTGTGTGTGTGTACACGTGTGTGTGTGTGTACACGTGTGTGTGTGTACACGTGTGTGTGTACACGTGTGTGTGTACACGTGTGTGTGTGTGTACACGTGTGTGTGTGTGTACACGTGTGTGTGTGTACACGTGTGTGTGTGTGTACACGTGTGTGTGTGTACACGTGTGTGTGTACACGTGTGTGTGTGTACACGTGTGTGTGTGTACACGTGTGTGTGTACACGTGTGTGTGTGTGTGTACACGTGTGTGTACGTGCGCCGCGCATCGAACCCGGCAACCCGAGTTCTATTCCCTCTCACGGCCACCTTCAACACCGGTGACGATCATCTGAACCGGGTCCTGGGCCCTCCCCTAGGTCGACTCAGCCTGAAATAAGAACCTGGTGCGGTGTGTAGTAAACATCGCCGCGAGAGAGACAAAGGCGGCCGGTTGTGGTGCTTGCCTTCATGCCATAAGAAAGAAGAAGTGGCGTTGTTGTGGTGGTGGTGGTTGTTGTTGTGGTTGGCTGTGAGACTAACCACTACACTACCGCTACCCACTCACTGTCACTCACACTCACTCTCTCATACTCACTCACTCACACTCACTCACAGTCACTCTCTCGCTCACACTCAATTAGACTCTCATGCACACTCAATTAGTGGCCGTCCATAAATGACGTCACGCACCTGGGAGGGGGGGGGGTCAGACATTAGTGAAGATGTGTGACGAGGGTGGGGGGTGAGAAATGTGACATCACGTAAAAGTGCAATTTTAAATAAATATAGACAACACGTTCTACTTAATTAAATAGACTTTTTAATCAATGTGACGTAATTTATGGACGGCCCCTTAGACTCTCACACTCTCACTCACTCTCTCATTAACACTCAATTAGACCGTCACTCACACTCTCACTCACACTCTCATTAACACTCAATTAGACTCTCTCGCTCACTCACTTAAACTCTCACTCACACCCTCACTCACACTCTCACTCACACTCTCACTCAGACTCTTATTAACACTCAATTAGACTCTCACTCACACTCTCACTCACACTCTCGCTCACACTCAATTAGACCCTCACTCTCTCTCTCACTCACTCAACTAGACTCACACTCACTCACACTCTCACTCACTCACTCACTGGGTTCATAGCGCAGTACGCTCACCACTGCGCCACCGCTCGCTGGCGTGGCTATCAACCCTGGGTGTGAGATCGGCATCACGGCTGGTGATGCTGGTGGGCGTGGGGGGGTGCCCAGGACCAGCCGCTCGTGCTGGTGTTGAGCGCCCCCTTGCGTAGGGCGACCGCACCTCCAGTTAGTGGCACATTCCAGTGGTGCTCAGTCTCGAAGGTCTGATATCAGGGGTCCCCAACCTCTGGGCCGTGGACCGGTACCGGTCCCGTGGCCTGTTAGGAACCGGACCGCTCAGCAGCAGGAGGTGAGGGCGGTGAGTCCGTGTGTGTACACACTCTACACACCGCGTAGTGGTGAGCGGTGAGTCCGTGTGTGTACACACTCTACACACCGCGTAGTGGTGAGCGGTGAGTCCGTGTGTGTACACACTCTACACACCGCGTAGTGGTGAGCGGTGAGTCCGTGTGTGTACACCACTCTACACACCGCATAGTGGTGAGCGGTGAGTCCGTGTGTGTACACACTCTACACACCGCATAGTGGTGAGCGGTGAGTCCGTGTGTGTACACACTCTACACACCGCATAGTGGTGAGCGGTGAGTCCGTGTGTGTACACACTCTACACACCGCGTAGTGGTGAGCGGTGAGTCCGTGTGTGTACACACTCTACACACCGCGTAGTGGTGAGCGGTGAGTCCGTGTGTGTACACACTCTACACACCGCGTAGTGGTGAGTGGTGAGTCCGTGTGTGTACACACTCTACACACCGCGTAGTGGTGAGCGGTGAGTCCGTGTGTGTACACACTCTACACACCGCATAGTGGTGAGCGGTGAGTCCGTGTGTGTACACACTCTACACACCGCGTAGTGGTGAGCGGTGAGTCCGTGTGTGTACACACTCTACACACCGCATAGTGGTGAGCGGTGAGTCCGTGTGTGTACACACTCTACACACCGCGTAGTGGTGAGCGGTGAGTCCGTGTGTGTACACACTCTACACACCGCATAGTGGTGAGCGGTGAGTCCGTGTGTGTACACACTCTACACACCGCATAGTGGTGAGCGGTGAGTCCGTGTGTGTACACACTCTACACACCGCATAGTGGTGAGCGGTGAGTCCGTGTGTGTACACACTCTACACACCGCGTAGTGGTGAGCGGTGAGTCCGTGTGTGTACACACTCTACACACCGCATAGTGGTGAGCGGTGAGTCCGTGTGTGTACACACTCTACACACCCGCGTAGTGGTGAGCGGTGAGTCCGTGTGTGTACACACTCTACACACCGCATAGTGGTGAGCGGTGAGTCCGTGTGTGTACACACTCTACACACCGCATAGTGGTGAGCGGTGAGTCCGTGTGTGTACACACTCTACACACCGCATAGTGGTGAGCGGTGAGTCCGTGTGTGTACACACTCTACACACCGCGTAGTGGTGAGCGGTGAGTCCGTGTGTGTACACACTCTACACACCGCATAGTGGTGAGCGGTGAGTCCGTGTGTGTACACACTCTACACACCGCGTAGTGGTGAGCGGTGAGTCCGTGTGTGTACACACTCTACACACCGCATAGTGGTGAGCGGTGAGGTCCGTGTGTGTACACACTCTACACACCGCGTAGTGGTGAGCGGTGAGTCCGTGTGTGTACACACTCTACACACCACATAGTGGTGAGCGGTGAGTCCGTGTGTGTACACACTCTACACACCGCGTAGTGGTGAGCGGTGAGTCCGTGTGTGTACACACTCTACACACCGCATAGTGGTGAGCGGTGAGTCCGTGTGTGTACACACTCTACACACCGCGTAGTGGTGAGCGGTGAGTCCGTGTGTGTACACACTCTACACACCGCGTAGTGGTGAGCGGTGAGTCCGTGTGTGTACACACTCTACACACCGCATAGTGGTGAGCGGTGAGTCCGTGTGTGTACACACTCTACACACCGCGTAGTGGTGAGCGGTGAGTCCGTGTGTGTACACACTCTACACACCGCGTAGTGGTGAGCGGTGAGTCCGTGTGTGTACACACTCTACACACCGCATAGTGGTGAGCGGTGAGTCCGTGTGTGTACACACTCTACACACCGCGTAGTGGTGAGCGGTGAGTCCGTGTGTGTACACACTCTACACACCGCGTAGTGGTGAGCGGTGAGTCCGTGTGTGTACACACTCTACACACCGCATAGTGGTGAGCGGTGAGTCCGTGTGTGTACACACTCTACACACCGCGTAGTGGTGAGCGGTGAGTCCGTGTGTGTACACACTCTACACACCGCATAGTGGTGAGCGGTGAGTTCGTGTGTGTACACACTCTACACACCGCGTAGTGGTGAGCGGTGAGTCCGTGTGTGTACACACTCTACACACCGCGTAGTGGTGAGCGGTGAGTCCGTGTGTGTACACACTCTACACACCGCATAGTGGTGAGCGGTGAGTCCGTGTGTGTACACACTCTACACACCGCGTAGTGGTGAGCGGTGAGTCCGTGTGTGTACACACTCTACACACCGCGTAGTGGTGAGCGGTGAGTCCGTGTGTGTACACACTCTACACACCGCGTAGTGGCGAGCGGTGAGTCCGTGTGTGTACACACTCTACACACCGCATAGTGGTGAGTGGTGAGTCCGCGCGTGGCCAGCCCCCATTGTTTTATTATTGACCAATTCCGTCCGCGCCTCTGTCCTGCACCTTGTCTCAGTCACAGTGTTGGTGAGCCCACAGGCTCTATCCCCTAGTAGCCAACATGAGTACAACAACAAACGTCGCTGGAGAGTTTCTTTGAAAGGGGAGTAAGACCCAATGATGAACCCCCCGCCTCCCGGTCCGTGAAAAAACTTGTCTTCCACAAAACCGGTCCCTGGTGCTAAAAAGAGAGCTGACTGATGTACACTCTAGTGATGTTCTAGAATGGCTAGAGAGCTGAGTTACTGATGTACAACTCTAGTGATGTTCTAGAAGGGCTTAGAGAGCTGAGTGACTGATGTACACCTCTTAGTGATGCTCTAGAAGGGCTAGAGAGCTGAGTGATTGATGTACAACTCTCGTGATGCTCTAGAAGGGCTAGAGAGCTGAGTGATTGATGTACAACTCTAGTGATGCTCTAGAAGGGCTAGAGAGCTGAGTGATTGATGTACAACTCTCGTGATGCT